TGACGTCCTTCACTCCTGGTAGGAACACACCCTGCTGGTGCTCCATGCACCACTAATAGAGCACTTTGGGCTGTCTGGTACCAGAGGCTGCTCTGAGAGAGAAGTGCTGAAGCGTGTGCGCAGCATCAGGCACAGGACAGGCTCCAGTGAAAGCCCCAGGGCTGCTGGAAGCCAGCAGCCTCAATGGGACACTCAAGTGCTTGCTGCTGGCATGAGCATGGCTATCTTGGGGACCTGAAACTGGAAGGAGTCACGTTGGTCAATTGGTCTCACTCGCTGCTATCAGTACCACCTACCTCATGGAGCAGTTATTCCTTTCATAACCCAGTCCAAAGCTGATGTAAGCAGCCCTTTGGGATACTTCATGCAACTTCTTTAGGAATGTTGTTGCTGTGGAACAGGTCCTTGTTACTCCAATGTTTCAGATTTAACTTTTGCTAAACTCTGCCATCTATGATCTATATTTATTTACGAGCAGTTTATACCCTTTTCCTCTGGCTGTTTATAATTCTAGTCTTCAGAGCCCTTTGATTCTTCCTGCATAACTTAACTCCATTTGTATTAGTAATGCTTCCCAACTTTCTGTCACCTGCATGGGTTGTGGCAATTCTGGGTTTTTACCAAGGCTTCTGAGGGGTACATAAAATAAGATGAGCTCTGACACTGTTTCTTGAGGAACTTAATGAGTGACTTTCTACCTCAAGTTCTTTACTTATCAGACCATTTTTTTTTCTTGTAGTGCCTTTTTTTTGCAGCTGAGCTAATCAGTTTCTGTGTGACAATTTAGTAAATATTTAAATGGAGCCACGTGGAAGATCAGCTCTAGCACCTTCATGTCATTCAGCTTGGTTATTAAAATACAATATTAGCCTGAACTAATGTCTGTTTACCAAGTTATATTGTCTTCTCTACCACACTCTATTTTCATTGGAAACTTGTGTTATTTCTTCCCTAACTAAAAACTTGTTTTGAAACCTTACCAACAGATGAAGACCAATGGGCTTTTAAATTGTTTAGGAAGCTTATGATCTTCCTCTTTTGTATTATGACAATATATAGCATTTTCCACATGTTTTATGAAGTCCTGCACCATCCTAGAATTAGAAGCCTAATTAGAAGTGATTCTTGAAAAAGCTGTACTTTCACACAACATTTTTTTGTAATCAGATTTCACTGTTTTGTTTTTGAGCATCCCTTCTCATAAGGATTTATAGTCAGAAGTGTTAGCTTAGGAACAAAATCTGATAAAGATAGATACTGAAAAATTAGTAAAATACCAGTATTATTAATTCATGACAGATGGCAGCTGAAATTAAGCTCTTAGAGGTGGATCCAGATATTATTTTTATATATATATATATATATATATATATATATATACCCACACATAGGTATTTACACACATATATACATATATATATACATATATAATATATATGGCATCCATGTACTAATTTATAAATATATATGTATTTTAAGTACACATTTAAAAAAAAATAAATTTCCTTTTCATTCCTTTCTTCTAAAAAAAATGCATATTTAGAGGGCAGGAAAATGTTACTTTTAGAAATCTTTTTCTCCTGATCTGGAAAAGACCTCTGTGGTTTTAAATGTTTTGTTTTAATTAGAAATCAATTTCCAGCTACCCTTTAAAGTGATACCTTATCTGTGCTATGCTTATGTATTACTTAATTTCGTACTCCTGGGAGGTTTTGTTTCTCTCTGATAGAAGAGAGCTTATTAACTTTCATTTATTAGGAAAATTTAATTTGCTAAATTTAAGAAAATATTTGAAGAATGATTTAAAACTAATGGTAATATTTTTTTTTTGTTTTTTCTTTTTTAATTGGGCAATAGAAGATAAAATCTGGAAATCATGACAGTAGCTAACCTTAGGAATTTTGATACAGCTATTTTAAAAGGAAAATAAACTGAAGATTAGGAAGATAAAAGAATCCTATTTAAGTATATAGTTCACATATTCCAACTATTTGCGTTCTTGCCTTAAATTCAGTAACTCCACTGAGCTGTTCTGAGATTTCTCCAGAGATTTCAGATATAGATGCAACTAGAAAATGTATTAAATATATAATCTGTACTGTTTGCAACACAAAATGATTTTAACTTGATGATTAAGACAAAATGATTTTGACTTAAGTCGGTGTTGTTGTCACCCTTAGTATATAGTGCCTGATTAGCTGTTTTTCGTTCCTATTCCTTGAAGTTTTTACTCACTGAGTAATTTGGGAAAAAAGTAATTTGTTAATGAGCTGTTACCATTGTGAGTAAGCCATGTAAATAGAAAAAAAAAAAAGAAAAAAAGACCAATTTCAAAGCTCCAAACCATTTAAAAGCTCAATGATTTTAAATCTAAAAGAAAGTACAGTAGCATTCAGTCTTACTTTTTTGACATATTGTAAAACTAAGTAACTCCTTGGAATAAAATATAATAGTAAAACTTAATTTCACCCCCTACAGGAAAGTCAATACAGATGTGTAACATTACTTGTGTCAGTGTTTGAGGGAACCAGACCTGTGGTACTGTTAAACAGCATGTCCTGTAATAAAAAATGAAATTTATGCTTTCTTGCTCAGCACTTTGACTCATTATTTATTACGCAATTTTCTTGATCTATTAAAATGTTGAACTGACAGTTTCTGGGAACCTCTCATTTCTCATATGGAAAGCAAATAAATATCACTTTTACTCTCCCATATATAATTGCAAATTGATTTTCATGTTGGATCACTTAGCTTCACTTTTCATTGTCTAATGTGGCCTTATAGAATGCTAAATACTGAGGCTGTTGAGTAACTAGAGAGTAAAACAATTGATTTTTTAATATAATTGTCTGTGGTCAATTATCACAGAAGTGGGGGTGTGTGTATTTCAGCCTTATAGGACAAGCACTGATTCCCATGAAGGAATCTGTAGAAGAATTGAGGGTAACTCAAGTCCATTAACACTTCTGATGCCTTGAAGCAGATGTTTCTGTTTTTAACTCCTCCAGTTCTTCCTTGTAGTTGGCAAGGAGAGCTGGGTATTTTCAAAAGCCTACAAAAACACATCTTATCTGCCTAATTGGATAACTAAACTTTGGCCAAAAATCTCCCAAACTCCTTGAAGATCTCTAGGCTTTCCTGTAAATGATTCAGGGATCTTGGGCAGAATTGGGCATAAGGTTTATGTACAAGAGAACTGACAGGTCAGACAAATCTCCTTGGCTAGATGTGTTTTTTTCTTTCAGCTTTTCTTCACTGTTAGATTTTCATCAGCTTTTCTTCTTAAACTTAAGCTGTGTTGCAATCGAGACTCATCCCACTCTGCCCAGGCAGAGACCAGACTGGACCTACCTTCAGCCCTTCATGGTGTTCCCAGTACTTTCCTCTGTGCTTCCTGGCACTGTGTGCTGTGCCACCCACACACCCTGCCACAGCTGATTTCAGATTGAATTTTCATACCTGGATGCTATGACTACATCATTCTGAGAAAATGCTCTGGGAAAGCAAATTTGTACTCCAGTGCTGCAATGCTGTTACACTGTCTTATCTCTGACTCCATGTAAATATTGTTGTAGAGGGTTAAGGTTTAAGTAACTTGAACTACATTATCTCTGCTAAGAGGTTTTTATCAGAAAGGTAACTAAATTCACTTGAGAGGAAATTAATTTTCTTCCAGAAATCCAATACATCCATTTTCACTAGGAAGGAGAGAGGAAGAGGTAATGCCAAAACTGTTTCCAGACTGAGAGAAACAGTGACTGTGGGTTTTGGGAAGTGATAAAGGTACTTGACACAGGACATTGGCTTTTTTCCTTACCCTTGTGGGACTGAGTTTTTGTATGTCAAACCACATTCTACAAGGTGCCAACAGTTGGGTCAAAGGGAATATAACAGCAGTCAACTCCTCTTGTATGCCATTGAGTTGTGCATCCTTCCTTGGAGATGTTTTAATTTCTAACACATTATATAATAATTCTTCATTCTTATGTATTTGGTGTTTAAGATTTTGTAAAGTGTGGTTGAAGACTACTCTAAAGCATTTGTGTGATTTGTGGTGTTTTTGCTATTAGTTATGAGAAGTAGTAGTTTTGTCTAGTCAAAATTAGAAGTATAAAATATCCATTTTTATCTGGGTGGGTTTAGAAGAATTTGTATTTAGTTTCTATTTTAAATTTAAATCAAACTGTAGTCAATCATACCCAGTTTTGACTGCTTAACTGAAATCAATGAGGCAGAACCTGAACTGTTGTTCCTCGTTATTTCTTCACTAACATAATTCGTATTACAGTAACTGATAGTATTTTGTCATCTGAATTCATCTACATCAAAACTTATTTTGTAGAATTCTTCAGGGCAGATTAAAAAAGAAAGATAAACAGTATCAATATTTAATGCCAATTATCTAAGGTCCACGATTCTACTCTAAACTTCTGTTTCATTTTCTGAGTAAACTCAGTTAATGTTGATGGGTGACATTTTTAAACCATGCTCTGTTGATTTCTGTCAAATGTACTCTTTGTTCTACAAATTTCCCTTGAGATATCCTTAGTTTTTTGAACCTAATTATTTTCATTTGAAAATTGTCAGAAAGAGCTAAGTATTTTTTTTAAAACAGTTATGCAAGTCCACTGGCTCAAATTCTTCACAAATGTAATTTGCCTGACTTTGCAATCACTTTAGTTTCCAGATGATTTGGCTCATCATAACTTTGAGAGAAACACGTAATGGTGACAAGGTGCCCTGGCCAGATGAACTGAATGACTTTTAAAAGTACATATAGCCAGTGAAGAAATAAACAAATATCAGAGGGGTTGATTTAAAACCTCTTAAATTTTGAAATGGAGTCTTGTATTTGAAGTCATATTCATTTCAATTTACAGGCAAGGTCCTCCAACATGCATAAATGTTTTAACTGTTGATTCATGGAATAATTAATCTACAGTCACAGGACAGTTTATAATCTTCATAATCTTTGGTTTATTTTAACTATGTTACAGATTTACTGGCCTGCATCAAAAGAAAAGGTAGAATTATGCAAATTAGCGGGGAAAGATGCTTATGTAAGTATGATGTATAATTTTTATTATTGCTGAGAATTATGATTATCTGTGTATTTCTTACTAAATGCACAAAATACATTATTAAGCTCGTTACACTTCTGAACTGATGTCCTAAGTGTTTTTTCTTAATTAAAAACCCTACATTTCTATTGTTTTTTGAATATTAATACATTAAAAAACTCAACATTGCAGACAGCAATCATGCTAGGTTGTTCCTTAATGTAATAAATGCAGCTGAGAGATGAATGAACTTTCCTCAGAAATGTATACCAGGCAGTACTTCCATTACAATATAATACTTCCACTTTTGTCGCATTAAAATGCTTCTTTTTCCTTGGGAGTGTCCTGAATGTAACTTCATTATAATTCATTAAAGAGAGTGGTAGAACAGTGTACAAATCAATTTAACTTGCAGACAGCTTCAGTTAGGGTTAAAAAAAAATCCGAGACTAAATGGCTTTTCCCTGGAACCACAAATTTTCTTTAGGAAGTATATTTAAGGTACATATGTGTATACAATCCAACTTTTATATGTTTTGCATACCCCAGACTACATTGTTTGTCTAGAGCCCACTACAATTGTAAACATTTCCTGTCTGTAAAGTAAAATAAAATAAAAGCTTCTTTCTTTTCTCTCAAAAAAAATCTCCTAATGTCAGTTACCAAGGTAGATTTCAGCTCAAAACACTCTCAGCTCTCTGCATGAAGAATTTCAACTTCTTATTCTAACTTCTTGCTACCATTATCTTTACAGCAGTCAAAACCTAAGCAGCACCTTTGCTGAGCACTGGCAATATTCTTTTACTGGTGTATATGTAAGATTTGTGCTGTTCTGTTTCTATAATAAGAGTAGAAGGAAAGTGTCCTGGGAGAGAAATACTTGTTTTGGACTCTCACTTCAGTGTAGGGTGATGTCTTGCACATATGAACAGATCTTGTATATTCCCTCTGAAGTACTTGTTTTGTGTTTCTGTATTAATTTCATTTTGGAGAAAGCTAGAGCAGTCTTTTCCTCCAGCCCATGTATCATCTTTGGAGCACATAGCAGCTGCCTGTGCTTACCAGCAAGGACCAAGCCCAGCTAGACTCAGAAATGACCAAATAGAAGTCACCAATAAGACGTGGCTGGTGCAGAGACAAAGCATATCCTTTGAAGTGTGTTGAAGCCTTTCAGCCCACCACAGTTAGTTTAATCATGTAATCTTTGATGCTAAAGCACATGCAGCACCCCGAGCTGGGAAGCAAAGGCAGGAGGACTGGTAGCCAGGCACGCCCAGTGGCTCTGTGACCTCTGCCCAGTTGTTGACAGGTGTTGTTTGCTACAGCACAGGCTGAACAGATACCCTCCAAACCATGCTGTGAGCACACAGCTTCTTGTGGCTGTAAGCATTACAGCAGAATTAGGTTTGCAAGTCTGATTGATGAACTGCCTGGTAGATAGCCACGGTCAAATTTTAGTTGTCACAGCTTTGAACTACTTTGTAAGCAGTCACTGCTACAGTAGTTTTGAGTTAAAGTACACTAGTACTATGGCTGTAACTTAGTAGAATGTTTGATGTGAAAAACAGAATGTTTAATGTGAAAAACAAGAATAAACATGAAAAGTAACCTTTATCTTTCTTTTCCCCACAGACAGAATGTTCCAATTTTATCCGTGTTCTTCAGCCATACAACCGGACCCATGTTTATGTCTGTGGCACAGGAGCATTTCATCCTCTTTGTGGATACATTGAACTTGGAACTCACAAAGAGGTAATTTAACTTTCTCACTGGTGTGACGTGCCAAGGAATAGCCCTCATCTTGTTTAGCATTCATCATAGATTGGAAAATACTCTGTGAGTGTGTAAAAAATGACCTGACAGCAGCTTGCATAAATAACAGGGTAAATGGTGGATTCTGCAGGTCAGACGGGAACTCTCGTTCTCACATTTGGTATGTGCATATCACTTTTGAGCAAAGCACTTTCCTCAGGCTTAACTTAATACACAAAGTTCTTCAGAATGACACTTCCATGTGATTAACTAAGTGAAGAGAACATCTAACCCAGATGTCTTCCTTTCTAGTAAGTCATTTCTGCACATACTTTCCTTATGCACATACATTCAGAGTTCAAGATGAAACTTGTAGTTCTATCTTTTAATGTACATATATTGTTGGTCCACAGTACGATTCCTATGCCTTGTGCATGAGAGTAATAAACACTTTGAAAAGGGTCTCTGAGTCTGAGTGCAGGGACAGCATCTCAGGACTTTGCAATGTGTGGCAGTTCAGTCACAAAAGAGGTGTTGGCTGTCCTCCATCACTAGTGCCATATTCCTGAGCTGAAGTTAGCAGCTGATTGGTCTTCATTTGCTGGTGACAAAGAAATCTCTATCCTAAGTGGTAAATGTTTGAGACCTAACCTCTACAACAGAAGAATTTTGGTGTTGTGTCAAGCAGCCACTTAGTACACAAGTCTCTTTTTAACTCCTGTATGTATCACACCTTGGCTATATTTATCCCACTGCCACTGTTCTCAGACAGTGTTGAGCTGTGACCTGTCTGGCTGCTTGCCTGTGGTGCAGGCTTCCTATGCTGCTATAGAAATAGATTTCTCTTTTCTTCAAGGCTGGATAAAATTCTAAAATATAAGAAATGACATCTGAGGTTACTAAATGGAATAATCTGAAACAGAATCATAGAATGGTTTGGGGGGACAGGGCCCTTAAAGATCATCCAGTTCTAACCCCCCTGCCATGGGACACCTTCCACTAGACCAGGTTGCTCAAAGCCCCATCCAGCCTGGCCTTGAACACTTCCAGGGATGGGGTATCCACAGCTTCTTAGGGTAGCCTGTGCTGGTGCCAGGGAATAATTTCTTCACAATATTTAGATATTGTAGGTCTAAGGGTAGGTCTAAACCTACCCTATTTCATTTAAAGTTATTCCACCATATTCTATCACTGATACATGGAATCAAGGGAAGATCCTCATGGAAGAAAAAAAGGGATTAATGCTTGCCCAGACTAAGATCCATCATAACGTACCCTACAATCTATGGGTTGGATGACCAACCCAGAGGGGCTGCCTGTGCAACAGAAAACTGAAGCTGTAAGAAATCTACATGGTGGTGTTCTTTGTCTAATAAATCATTAATGCTCCTGGTATTTTCTGGTTTATGATGTATAATTTGGTTTACAATTAAATAATTCTGTAGACTTCTTTGTTTCGCTACTTTAAATATTCTGGTTGAAGTAAGTGAAATTTTAGATCCCTTGTACCATGCTGATTTCTTAGCTGGATGATCAAATACACAGCTGAATGGAACAGAAAAGCTCCCAGCAAGAGTGTAAGTAAGGCTCTGGTTTACCTCTGGGTCATTAGCAAGATTCCTTATTCACTCTACCATTGCCCTACTTCATTTCATCTATTTGATTTGTGAAGGTTGTTTTCACCAGACCTTATGAAATTATGGATTTGGTCTGACTGTTCAGTCCGGCAGCCAGTCTAGACAAGGGGTCTGTCTCAGACATGACCAATTACCTTGTGAGAGGAAATGGAAGAAGAATCCTGGTATTGTATTTCCTAATCCCCTCACTGTCCCCCAGTCCTGCCTCTCCCACATTCCTTCTGGTTGCTCAGCTGCAGTGGTAGCTTGGACAGTGTTCAGCTCCTGCCTCTTCTGACAGAGCACCTCTTCTACAGCCTCCTACTGATTTATCAGCCTTGAATGGCATCAGGCATATTTTCCCTCTCCTTCTTGGAGGCCCAAACACCCTTCAGCCACCATCCTTCCATCACCTCTTCAGATAAATATAACAAGGCAGAAGGGTGCTGAGGATAGGCCCAGAGATGTGAATTTGACTGGCAGTTGAAAATGTCTCCGTGTAGGAACTGAAGCCAGGAAATCCATTCTCTCAGAATTTTTTTTTTCCTCCCTCACAGTTGTAATTTTTTTTTTTTTTTTAAATTTAAAACTCTGTGTTATAATAACAGATAATGAGTGTCTGGTAATTAGCAACCTCTCCAGGAAGATGTGGGATGCTTGGGAGAGCCAGGCCCTGAGATAGCCTCATGGAGGCTGTGATGTCAGGCAGGGCTCTGCTGACCTTTGAAAGCTGCTGGTGGATCTGCACAGTGGACTCCTGGCCAGTGCCAGTGCTGTGAAAACAGAGGAAAACAGTGTAGATCAGGTGACTCAAAACCACAGCAGACACTGCTTTTGAAGCAGTACAAATCCCCAACGGGATCACACAATTAAAGGGGATTAAAGTCCTCATCTTGTTTTTGCTCGAGTCGCTGCCAAAACTTCTCTTGGCTGGTGAAGAAGAGGCTTGGCCCGGTTGGTGCTGTTAGCCACAGCTCTCCAAGGGCTGCTCTTTTCTTTGAAAGCTTTGCCCAAAGTGAAAGCAGGAGGTTAATTCTGTGTGAATGCCTGGTAGTGTCCATTAGTTTGTCTGGGTGAAGTCTGAAATATTTGATGTTGATCTATAACTCCCTTGGTCCCCTGAGTACTGCTGGGCTTGCAAACAGCCTCTTCACATGTGATAAAGCAAGGGTTCTCTGAGCAGCTCAGGGTTCTATATCCCAGAACAAAGGACAATGGCACACCAGAAAAAGATTGTCAGAAAAAAACCAACTAATTCTTAGTTCAGTTTTGTCCTTGCTGTGCTCACTTCAGTAGCCTGAGAATTTGGTTTGCCTGATATTCCACAGGTTTGGGAAGGGAACAAGATTTCTGCTGATTAAATTCCGATTTGTATGAGCTAGGATTGCTGGAGGAAATTGAATTTATGTTCCTAGATTGGAATTGATTTTTCTTTTCTCTTAAGGAGCTTAATTATTCAATATCCTGGGCTTTTGTCTTCTGAGCCCAGAGAGTTTAGGAGGCACTTCAATAACATAGAAAGGTTTGGTCATTTATAATCTGATCTGCATTAAGGATGAATTGAATTAATGTGTTGTGAAGTCTGATCCTATGTGCCCATCTTTGGACATAACTTGCTTGTCATTTGTACTCTCCTAGCCTCTTGCAAGGCAGAGATATGGAATAATTAAAATAATTAAAATCACTTCACCCATTTTTAATCATTTAAATCCTGGAGATGTTTTGATTTTTTTTTTAACTAGCTTCTAAATTTTTGTCTCTACCATACATTGATTAGATTTCTGAGCACTAGTGGGATTTTAAATATCAGCATAGGTAGGATAACATGTTAAAGAAAAATATGTTAAAAGCACTTCTGTAAGCAATCTTCCTTCTCTTAATGGCAGCACAATTCTGAAGTCTCTATACCTGCAGAGAGTTCTCTTTACTCCTCTGAGCTATCAGTTTGCCTTCACTATGGATTTCAGGTTAACTGTACTTTCCGGAAACCAGAGGGGCAAGTAAAAGATTCCTTCTTGACAATTCAAAACTATAATAAAGTTTCAAATGGATGCCTACAGGAATCGACTTTCTTTATCTTCCTCTATGCCCTTGTTCTGTGGCCCAAGAATTAATCATACTGTATTTGGAAATGACAAAGAAGAAACTATTCTGATAGCTCTTGTATCTTTAGCCTTGTTAAAAATAATAAGAGAGAGCATATGCTGCTTTCCTTTTAAAAGGGTCTGAACTGTGTCTGTTGTGAACATTATTCAGCAGTCCCTGGAGAAATTTCAGAGTCAGCCAGAATCTCTTCAGGGTCTCCTGTTGCAACACAGTCTATCAGCACTTTCTCAGATAGAAGTCAGTGCCTTTTAAGTACAATCCAGCTTTTAATTGGAGTAGAAACGAACAACGCATCCTTTTTTTTCTGAAAATAATTGTATTTTTTTTTAAAGATTTGTGTTTACGATAGAGTGACCAGGATACAATAAAACACGGAGTGAAAAAATCCAGATATAAACCAGACACAGACTGTAAACATCAATGCTGAGATGGCAGCTGCATGATCTAACACACCTTCACTTTGTACGTTAGCAGGGCAGGCTAACATCTAAGTGAGTTTTTCTCTGTAGCCACACCAGGGTAATGAATTTGTGTTTATTCTCAGGAAATGGTGTTCCGTTTGGATACCCAGAACCTGGAGTCTGGCAGGTTGAAATGCCCCTTCGATCCCCAGCAGCCGTTTGCTTCAGTGATGGCAGGTAAGGAGCCACCAGAGCCAGGTGCTGCCCTCGGACCTGTGATGGCTCTGCTGCGAGTCCCGGGGCTCAGCAGATGTCACTGCTGAAGCTCCTCTGGCACTGGTCATGTTTCCAGAGCTGGTTTGTGCTCTCAGGGCTGGGGAAGCCTTCAGACTGCAGACTGCAGAGAGCTGGAAGGGCAGAAATGAAACAGAGGCATTAGAATGGCTGTGAAGCCTCTGTCAGCCGTGCAGGAAGGCGGTTTCAACCTCACCCAGTCATTGCTCCTTTAAGAGGATAACAAAAAAACCCACATGGACAGAGAGCGTTTGAAGCCCTTGTGGGCCTCTTTCTGCAATTATCAATATGTTCTGCCCTTTGAAGTCTGCTGACATGCACTATTTCCATAAATACGTTTCTGAGGTTTCTATTTACTCGAGTAGCCACTTCTGAAGCTGGGAGCCGAGGAACAAGATAGTGCACTCCGCCTGCTGCGTGCATCACAGCACTGTGTGGTCTGACATTTGGGGCCGAGGAATGTCAGCTTGACCTCTGGATTTCAAATCACTATAAGAGCTACTTTTGTCATGGTTTGGTTCATAGCTTTGGACAATTTTCATTTAACTTGTCTGTCAAGCATATGAATACAAGATAAGAGTGAAGCACCATGACGTTTTCATTTACAGCCAAAGAGCAGTGGTGACAATGCTTTGAAGTATCGGTCACTCTGTGTTATAAAAAGAATATGACTAATGTTCAGTCTTTATTCTCAGATAATAAGATAGATGATTTGTGATTCTGACCCTACAGATGGGGCAGGACTTCCTTTATTAAAAACAATAGATTAAAGCCTGTGCTTATTCTTCTCAGAGACCCCTAGTACTCTTTAATGACTGTGAAGTCTATTTTTAAAATGGGGTTCCAGAAAACTTTAACTAATTTTTTTTTTTACTTTATTTTTTTTTTCATGCAAGCAGTAGAACTCTGTGATTTATTATAGTATTGCCTAATTTCAGTAGCACTCTCATGCTTTGCCTGTTCTATTAAATCTTGTGAAATGAAGAGGCTGCTGTCTTTTAGCTACCTAAGACATGAACTTTGCTACATAAAAATTTTTGAGCTAGATAAAATTAATGGTCAGGTTATTCTAGTATCCGTTTTTTGACTGTGGCTGGTGTCAAGTGCTTCACAATAACATACAGAGGAGCACTGTGAATAGTTACAGGCCTGACCAGAGACTGTGTTTTTGGTCTATCTTTGGATGTTTACCTTATTCCCAAGTAAACTAGCAGAGCAGTATAGTTCATGCATAAGATGCTTCCCTGGAGCTCAGGTGAGATCATTTCCCATCTCTGCCACTAATGAGCAGAGTAACTTTGGCATGTCACTTCTCTCTAGCTACTTTTGTTTATCTGCCAAATGGCAATAAAGATTACTTACATCCTTTGGACAACACTTCTTATTCCGTTCTACATTTATGAGCTAAGTAATATCTAACTATATTTTCACTCATATGTGTAAGTTAATGCAACTGAGTAATTCTCATTCTTTGTAGAAATAAGTGATCTCAGTACTACATGACTTATGACTTCAAGTAAATCCTATGGATAAATTTGGAAAAATAGTTTTCTTGACTGAAAAATCACCTGCTCATCATCCATCCTCTATTATAAACTACCACTCACCAAAACTGTTCAGGACATAACAGGAACTTGGAATGAGAGATACCAAATGCTGAGAGAAGTGCTGAAAATGCCTTGTCAGCAGAGCCTAAGCAAGGATGGAGAATTTCTGTTGGCCCTTCAGATGTATCGATCACAGAGTGCCTGTCAGTTAGCAAACACCAATTACCCTGCCCATTCCTCATTATGACAAATACCTTTCAGAATGCACTATTGTTTCTTTACAAAGGCAACATGCTGTCTGAAAGATGTGCTTTCCACAACTGTCATGGAAATAATACAGAAGTAACAATAATAATGCGGTAAAAAGAAAGATGATAGATCTTTTTTGGCTAAATAAAGTGCTTGCAGATCATGGGTTGTGGGTTGGTTTGTTGATTTTTTCCCCCTTGATCTTATTTTTTAAGTGCATTTACATCTTTCACAAATGAAAGCACAAACATCAGTGTTGAATGGTATTTATTCTGCATTCACTCTCAACAAAGGCCTCTCTCTAAAAGATCTTGTGAAATGTTTCAACCCAGGAGTATCAGAAAACATGGATAAGGAACTTTTGGAAGGGGATTTTTATGTATCATATAGCTTTTTATGAGATTATAATTTATGAATATGAACTTTTTTGTTTTTATGAATTAAAGGGATTTATTTCTGCAAGTCATTAAACAAAAAAAAAACCCTCTTCCAACCAATAAAGCTTGTTATTTTACAGAAAAAAAGGAATATTTCAAAATGCACTATATGGTAAAAAAAGAAAAAAAAGGCTTCAAAGTGATACTGTTTCTTTGGTTCTTTTTGAAAAGTACTGAGATCTGAAGGGAAACAGAAAATACTGTGCATTTCTTAGCATTTTCATTGCTCACAAAAGGGACAGAAGAGCAAATAGTGACTGCAATTGCAGCAAGCACTGTGTTACAGACACAGTGTCCTTGTGAGGCAAATTCTGGCTGCCTTATTCAAGCAAGATGTGTCATTTATTTTAGAAAGTTCACTCTGTGTTAAAATGATGATGATTTGTGTCTGTAGCCATATTTCTACTATTAACACAAATTCCCTGAGTTAGTGCCAGAATTCCTCTTCGTGAATTAAGTGTTGGATAGAGATCATTGCTCCAGGAATGGGCCAAGCTGCAACATTCCAGTGGGGAAGCATCCATCCTGTTTTTCTAGCTCAGGAGCAGCAAAGCCATGGGGGCTATGGCATTCCTGGGACACAGGAGGTAGCTGGAATGGACAGGTAGCCATGCCCTCACCATGGCTCCCAGGTACATGGGACAGAGTATTCAGATTAAATAGACCTTTATACCCTTAAGAACCCAGTATCCATTAAAGACTGGGAAATTTACTATTCTGAGTGCCTAAAAGATCTGAAAATTAGACTTTGACTGTGTTACTTCTCAGACATATAATTACAAATATCACTCTTATTTAAATGTAAGTAAATTTACAGAACCAAAATAACCCGTAAAAATATGAACCAATAATATTTTAAAGCATTAAATTTGTTTATTGACCAATTAAACACAGGATGTTGTTCACCCAACGAAATGTTAATAGTGGTGGCACAGCTGTAGGAACCCTATTTCTTTTTAATTTGCAGACGAGTATCTTTATGCTGGAACAGCTTCTGATTTCCTTGGCAAAGACACTGCTCTGACACGTTCTCTGGGCCCTTCTCACGACCACCATTACATCAGAACTGACATTTCTGAACATTACTGGCTTACTGGTAAGATCCCAAACATATGCTGTTGTCATTTGCATTGTCCCTGCCTCTCTGAAGTTAATAGCTCTTTCCTTATATAAATATATGTCCAGTAACTATAAATATAGATATTGTATCATGGAGTCTTTGGATTACGTAGAGTTTTTTAAAAAAGCTCAGTGGAACAGAAATGCACTTGAGAAAAGTCACAGAGGTGAAAATGCTAATTAAGGGAAGAGTGGGAGCATAAGACCTATTCATAGTTTCTGTCTTTGATCTGTATATCTGTGTATAATCCTACAATTGAAATAATATCATGACTTAAATGCTTCTATATCCAGTCTCGTTGGAATAATTTTTTTAAACTGTTTTTTTCAATCACTCATTAAAAGCTGTTCTGTATAGCATGTTGAAGCGGCAGACTAGAATTTTTTGTTAGAAGGTCCTTTTTTTTTTTAATTTTCCTTTTTTAGGGGAAAAATACCCTTTGTTGCTTTGAGAATCATTTTAAAACCACTAAGGGCACACTAAAATAGCTTCCCAAGCAAAACACTGCTTTTTCTTGCCCGTTAAAAAACATTGTGAGCTAGTAAACCCTCTAAAAAACTGGCTGCATTTGCACCCAGCCAGTCTCAAACCACACACAGAGTAACATGGAAAACTTCACTCACAAGCTAACCCTGCTCAATTAAAGCATCCCCCTTTTAGCTGTCAACTGTCTTTAAAGATGTGGCAACACTGGCCCTGGCTCAGGATGCCTGTGTAACTATTATGGGTGCAGTGTAAAGCCAGGGCCTACTGACCACAGGGTTAAGTTGGCTTCCCAGCAGACAACTTCTAAAAGGGATAATTTTGCCTCTTAACTCTTTGAGACCTTGACAAGAGGAAATGTTTTGGGTTTTTTTTTTCCCCTACCCCTTCTCTTCCTTCTTCTCTATTGTTGCCTTAAATTTCTGTCTTGACGTACCTCCATAACCCCAGGATTTCTGCTGTGAGATGAGGAGAAAAAGCCACTTAAAAGCCGTGTTTATCATTCCAAATAGGAGATAGAAGAATCTCATGTCTGACTTTGCTGACCCAATTTCATTTCCTGTGCCGAAAATCTTTCTTGTCCCACCTCTCCTATCTCATCCCTCTCTCGTTTCCACACAGCCTTTGAGCAGTGCAGAGCAGAAATGGGCTGTGATATGGACCAGGATGGGTCCTTCCAGCATTCACTTCTCTAATTCTAATTAGCCATGCAACTGCATATCCAGTTTTATCACTGATGGCCTGCAGATGCTCAGCATGGAAAGGTGGCTGGGTAGCTGCTTTCCTAAGGGATGCAATAATAAGCTGAAAACAAAGATTTACTGTGGTTTGGCCTTGAGGGGCATCTGGTGTTATCATTAGCGTAGATCCACCTTGATGAGCATTACAGGGTTCAGTTCCCAGTCCAAAAGAACTTGTAGATTAAAAATACAGTTCAAAATATTTTTTCTCTTTTCATTGTTTCTTCATGAGAAGTTTGAGGCAAGGGAACAGTACAAGAAAACAGAATAAACTGTAGGTTTGAGAAATATTTAGTTGTTTTAGTTGGGGGGGAGTCTGCCTTTCCTCTCTGATTTAGACTGATTCATGATTTATTCTGTTTTCACTTAAAGCGTCTGTATTTGTGAAACTTTTCTAAGGAAAAGAGTATATTAATATGTCTGGGTCTGAAAAACAGTGTGCTAGACCGTGAGGTGAAAATTGCCCCACACTATATAAACACTGAAGACCCTATATATTCTTCAGGTTTACCTTGTTTCCAGCCATATAAAACCCTACAGCCACAATTCTGTCTAAGACTTCACAAACACAATCCATTCAGTGTTATACTAAGAGGCATAGACATAAACTAGCTGCTTTCAATATTTTGAAACAGTCCTTTTAAGGCTGGAGAAAATTTTAAGTGCAACTTGAAATGATGGCATCATTTCTGCAATGAGCCATAGGGTGGCCAATATATTTCTAGTTTATTGTGTAATGTTACCAATTACATACTTCTGTGCTTTCAGCCAATATTGGTATAAAGAAAATATTTACTTGATTTCAGGCTTAAAACTCCCATCTCGTCTAAATCCCCTCTTCCCTTATTCTACTGCCCATTTACCAAGCAAGTGTTAGACCTCCAGGAAAAGCTGTACATACTTGAATAATTGTACCATTGGAAAATAAATTATTACCATGCATGACTCATGTTTTACTTAGGATAAGCATAAAATGGACAGCTTGTTTTCTTCCAGAGGGCCAAGGAAGTTTTGCTATAATGCACCTTAATATTTTTAAAGTTTAGTCTTATTCTGTTTCTGGAAACAAAATTATCCTTCCCTGAGGGAAGGGAGGTAAAGACAAAGCTTGAGAGAAAAATGCGTGGGATACCTTCCAGTTCCTTGCAGGGCATCTCTATCTTGACTAATTAAGACATGTCCTAATCTCAGTGACTGAATAGCAGCTCCACAGAGGGGGACAGGAGGAAGGCAGCTAATCTTTCCCATGACTCAGGCTCCCAGTGCTCGCACTCCCGCAAGAGCGGCACTGTGCAGAGGGGAGCGGGGCTGGGCAGTCGCGTTCCCACAGCCGCTCACCGGAGCTGCCTGGCCCAGGGACGGGCACGTGGGGCTGGGGCGCCTGTCCGGATGGCGAAGCCACCACTGGAACCGAGTCTGTCCCATGCCAGCCCCGTGGGCAGAGGAGAGCACCCGCCAGCCCTGCGCACAGGCATCCTCTGAACAGCTGCACGTTCCTCCCTCCTTCTCAGGAAGAGAAGGCCATAGCTGGAACGAGGGCTTCCTTGAATTGCATTCATCTCTTTTTTTTTTTTCCTTTTCACTTTTTTTCATAGCAATTTAGTCGTCTTTTCCAGGGCAAAGTCTTGGAGGCAATGAGTTCTTTATATTCTGTGAGCTTTGGACAGGATTCAGCTCCCTGAGCTCTAAAAGGCAAAAGCTAGCATCCTGTCTGAGCTCAGTCCTTTCGCTTGCCTCTGTAATTTACTGAGAGAAGTGACACTTCCAGAGGGTGATTCAACCCACCTATTGTAGGAATCTGTCTTAAAATAGGATTATTCATTGTCACTTTGTCTCTCCCTGAGAGAGGAACTGGCTGAGAATGGGTTAGGAGTTTGTCTTCTAGGTGGTTATGGTAAATGAGGTAAGCACTGTCCTTTGTATTCTGTCATGCCACGAATTTCTGGCAGCCCAAATACACAGAGGTGCTGCTTCCCACTGTTTTGGGTTGCTTTTTCATTTCTTTATATCCTGGGACAGCCAGAACCTTTGTGGTTCTCTTTTTCTGAGCCTAAGTTCTCCATAGGTTGCACTGCCAAAAGTCACTGCTGGTTTCAGAAGGGGGTGATGGCCAGCAGGTAACCAACAGCTAACCCAGCAGTGAAGAACCAGCTGTATCAGCTTTTCCCACCAGGTCACAAAAAAAGCAAAAGCAACATGTGTACCATCTATTGCCCAAGCTCATGATGCCTTTAATCTCTGGGTTGGTTACATGCAGTCTAGCCATGAACTTAATATGTGGGAAAATCTGCTGAAGCAAATAGCAGCGGGGGGATAGCTCTGTCTATGGGAGAACAAACATTAGTTTTAGATCATCATCATTAGTTTTTTCTCCCATACAAAGAATCCAAAAGCCTAATTCACTGTTAGTTTAAATGCACATTTATGTGTTGGATAGATGGGTTAGAAAAGATGAGACAAAGAGCTCAATTGCAGAATATTATGTGCTTTTGAGATCATCATCTCTTCCATTTAATTATTTTCACTTCTTCATATCTTTTACAATGCATTTCTGTTTGGATTTGACTTTCAACTTCAGTGTTTTCAATTGTGATTTAAAATTGTTAAATATTTGTGTTTCTTTAATTAGTTAGAGATTTTTCTAAATCTGTTCCAGGAATTGGTATTGAGACATTTATTTTTGCATTTGGCTTGCAAAATGAAGTTTAATTTTCAACCCCCCATACATACAGTGTTTTGTACAGTGAATGTAGATTAAGAAAAAAGAGGATGTGACTTTCAAAAACATGGTATAGAAGAGTTTCACAGTTACCCTCTTAAATGGCTATTTGCTGACCTCATATTTGAGAAACCGTACTGGAAGCATTCTTATGTATTTATTCATGCTTAGAGATCTGATCTTCAAAGTAGCCTTACAGGCCCTGAGGGGTAACTGAATATTTCCCTCAAGCTCATTTTGAAATCCTAACTTAAATTTATAGATCTTGATGGCTGCATCATTTCATTTTTTCTGCTGACACCATTCTCTAGAAATGGTTTGAATGAATGCCAGAAAGGTTTAAAATGGAAGCAGCAGTGTGGCTATTTTCACCCATAAATTTATTCTTTTGTCACAAAGGTGACACTTAAACACTGAGCACTTAAACACATCCAATTTTGTCTCAAGCCCTTTGTCTCAGACTGCAAACTTTTGAATCAAGGACTCTCTTTTTAATCTATGTGTACTGTAGAGTTCATGGTGAAAATTCCTCAAGGCTAATATAAAGTAACAATCATTATGAAAAGGACAAAGGCATGAAGATATACTGAAAGCTGATTATTCCCCCATATAAACAGTGTGCTCTGTTTGCTCTGCCTTCTTACACCACCCTCCTTATTGCTTTCTACTGCAGCCTACCTGATACTGGGGGACAAAGACTGTGTATTTTATTGCTGAAAGAATGTATTTTAGAGTCAAGGGTCTCTTTGCACTGTATTTGTATAGCCACTTCTGTTTAAAGAAAAACGTCATTGATCCAAGTGCCCTCAGGAGAGCTCATCTATTGTAGCACACTGGGGAATGTCTTAAAAATCACTGCCTCAAGTAGCTGGTTCACTTGTGCAAGGCAGGATTGTTGCATGCTCTGCTGCAGTCATGGACCCTTCCATTTCTGATTTTAGTGCAAAACTAAAAGGGAAACAAAAGCACTCAACTAGTGAGCAGATACAGCAGGAATGCAGACCATGGATGAGGGAGATTTGGAACACTGAAGAATGCCTTGGCCCACTAAGCATGCCTGTAAGATGCAGGCAGACAGCTATGCTTGCCTTAAAAAAGACCAGGGATAATGTAATTGCCCAGCATGCCATGACAAGGCATTTTTTTACAAAAAATCAGATTTAAATAACCCAGACAAACAATTACACTGATGTAGCCAATCTGTTTTCAAGCACAAGGAACTGCATCCTTAAGGTTGACCAACCCCTTTTGAAGTTTGCTGTGCAAACTGGCTGACTGCTCCTAACTGCCCAGCGTGGCACTGTGTTGGATTTGGTATAGCCAGTAAGACTGCTGTATCACAGATACATGGGAAACATTTCTTTGCAAGCTATCTCTAGTGACCAGTAGTATATTTCTGTATTTATAACTTCTTCAATGAGTATTTAAATTAATTTAAATTCTACCAGATGATTTCAGAAAAATTACTTAGCTTCATTTTGGTGGCAGGAGCAGTAAGGTAAATTTGTGTAGGCAGTACTTTGTACTGAGTTTCTGTGTTTCCAAGCAGAGAATGATAACCAGTGCTGCATACTTTTGCAAGTGGTAATAAAATCTATACACAGAAACATCAGCCTAAGAGTAAATACTTGAGGCTCATGGGGGTTTTCATTTGAAGTTAGTAAGAAACTCGCTGCTACATATCTATATAATGTTTTTTTTTCACTGGAAGTTGTAACATAAATGCAGAGATTTAACAAGTACTAAGGCTTTTCTTCAGATTTTTAACCCCCCCCTTTTTTTTTTTTTCATTTCTA